CTGAGTTCAAAAACAAAAGAATCCAAGTCATTTGCCCTTTTAAAATTAGGTTTTATTGTTCTGCTTTAAGAGTTTTTTACATATGTATTCTTTACATAAGATTTAAAAAAATCAGGTATATAGCAATTTTTTTTTCTGTTATACAGTATTATTTTTGTTTTTTTACAAAGGCACAGTTTAAATTTTGATGAAATCCTATTTATCACTTTTTTGTTTTATGGATTATGTCTTTGGCATAGTATCTTACAAATATTTGTCTAGCTCAAAGTCGTTTTCTCCTACATTTCCTTTAGAAGGTTTACAGTTTTAGAATTTACATCTATGATCCATTTTGAGTTCGTTTTTGTATATGGTGTAAAATGTAGAAGTCAATTTCTTTTGTACACACGTCCATACAAATGTGGGCTTATCTGAAGATTCTTTTTTAAATTTTCTTTTTAGAAACAAGTGTCTTGCTATATTGTCTAGATTGGCCTTAAACTCCTGGGTTCAGGTGATGTTCCTGCCTTGTCCATCTGAATAAGTGGAACTACTGCCACCATGCCTGGCTTATTAGAATTCCTTTGATCTACATGGCTATCTTCATGCTAATACCACTTTGTAATTACTGTTTTTGTTTTGTCTGTTTGGAGGTACTGGGGGTTGAATTCAGGGTATTGTGCTTGCTAGGCAGGTGCTCTACTACTTGAGCCATGCTGCCAGTCCTTTTTGCTGTGGTTATTTTTGAGATAGGCTCTCACTTTATGCCTTGGCAGGCCTAGACTATGATCCTCCTATTTGTGCTTCCTCGTGTAGTTGGGATGACAGGTGCACCCTACCAAGTGTAGTCATTGGTTGAGATGAGGTCTCTTTAACTTTTTGCCTGGGTTGATTTTGAACCATGATTCTCCAGATATCTATCTCTCAACTAGAGAGATTACAGGGTTGAGTCACTGTGCCTTTGCCTGGCCTTATTTTTTTTGGGAGGGGGTGAGATTAGGTATGGGGTGGTACTAAACTTTGAATTCAGGCTTTGCAATGGGTAGGCAGGTGTTCTACCTGGGCCATACTACCCACTTTTTAAGTAAGTCTCAAAATAAGAGGTGTGAGTTCAACTTTTTCTTCTGTTTTAAAATTGTTTTATCTATTCTAGTTTTTTATTTTTTCCATATACATCTTAAAGTCAATTTCTACAAAAAGATCTGTTGGGAACTTAATTGGGCCTAAAAACCCAATTTGGAGAGAACTGATATCTAAATCATATTGAGTCTTTTGCTCCATGAAAATGGTCTCTCTCTCCATTAATTTAGCAGTAACCTTTGTTGATACAGGCCTATCTATCTTTTGCCAGATTCTGCTCTAAGTATTTAATATTTTTTCGATGCTACTGTAAATAGTATTTTTTAAGATTTCAATTTCTGATTGGTAGCACCAGTATGTAGAAATACAAGTAATCTTGGTGTACTGATCTTATATTCTTCAATCTTGCTAAAGTTATTTATTAACTCTTGTTGCTTATTTTTTACACAATCATGTCACCTGAAACTAAAGACATAATTTACTTCTTCCTTTTCACTTTGGATGAATTTATTTCTTTTTTCTTGCAGCATTAATGCATTGGCTAGACTCTCTAATATATTGTTGAAAACAAGTGGTCAGACTCAATATCTTTGACAAGTTTCTGGTCTTAGGATGAAAACACTTTTTTTTTTGGCAGTACTGGGGTTTGGACTCAGGGTCTCAATCTTGTTAGGCAGGTGTTCTACCACTTTGAGGTACTCCACCAGCCCCTGAGGGTTTTTTTTTTTTTTTTTAAATCATTAAGTATGACTTAAAGGTTTTTTGTTTTTTTAAAAATTAAGTATGATTTATAGGTTTTTTTTGGTAGATGTTTCTTATCAGTTTGATAATTTTTTCTGTACTATTAAGATGATCTATGGTTTAATATGGTAAATTACACTTATTTTTTTCAATTTTATTTTTTATTATTATGTATTAATTATACATATTTGTGGGGCTCAGGGGGATAGTTCCATACATACATACATACAGTTTGCACTATTAAATCCAACTTCTCTTTATCTACCCTCCCTATATTCTTCCCAAACTCTATAGTCACTATTCTACCATTAACTGATTTTTCTAATGTTAAATTTACCTTGCATCATTGGCTAGACCTTACTAGGTCATAACATAATTATTTTTCATATACTGCTAGATCAAATTTGCTAAAATTTTGTTTAGAATTTCTATATTGATAATCATGAGAGATACTGCTCTGTAGATTTACCTTTTTAGTAATGTGTTGTTAAGTTTTGAAAATCAAGACTGGACTCATACAACAAGAAGTATTCTGTACTTTTCAGTCTTTTGGCAGAAAATTTCCAGTTGGGCCAGGAATGCTAGGATCTGCCTATAATCCCAGTACTCAAGGGCTGAGGTCAATCTGTGCTATATACAGTGATACCCTAAGGGAAGGGGGGATTAGAAAAGTAAGGGAGGGAGGGAAGAAAGAAAAGAAGGGAAAGAAAGAGAGAAAGAAAAGAGGGGAGGGGCAGAGCATCAGGGAGAAGAAGAAAGACAGGGAGAGAAAGAGTGAAGGAAAAAAAGAGGGAGGGAGAGAGAGAGAGGGAGAGGGAGGGGAGGGGGTGATAGGGAGAGAGAGAGAGAGAGAGAGAGAGAGAGAGAATATGAATGAATGAGAATAAATTTCTAGTTGGCTGGGCCTTTTTGGTTTTATAGTCTTCCTACAAATTATAACATTCTACTTTCTACTTTCTGGAACTTCTTTCTATTTTCTATGGAACCTGACATATGATCACTTTTGGTGACTCTTAGGTGCTTGAGCAGCTTGAACTGTACTCACTATTACCAGAGTGTAGTAGTTCATGTTGAAATTTCATGTTGAATATATTATTTAGTTCTCCACGTCCTTTACTACTTTTGTCTTTGTCTTGTGCTGATAGTTGTTATGTAAAGGGCATCTCTCTGTTTCATTATTTTCTCCCCCAAAGAGTTACCTTCTCCAAATTACCTCCCTTTGAGTCCCTTCTGGTTTATAGATCCCTTACCTACTCTGATACCTTTTAGAAATTTTGTTAATTTAGGGTGATCTTTCTCTTCCTAGTAATGATTTCAGATTAATCTTAGGCCCATTGTTAGCTCTCCTCTTTTCAATTCTGTGCATCCTTTCCCCCCACCCCCATAACAACTTTTCTCTTAATAATGTTTGCATAAGAAATAATCTACTGGAATTTGGTGTTTACTTTTCTATTATTAGTAATCTGACGTGTGGATATTATCTGTCTTATAAGTCAGGCTGAAAGTGTGGTTTGTAAATTTTAAAAGAATATTGAAAAGAACCAAAGTATACCAAAAAAGTCAAAGCTCTAATTTCTTTCCTTTGTCTTTCAAAGGGAATCTACTAAATAGAGGCTATTTATACCTCTGAAATATATGTATTACTTACATGTATGTTTTAATGTTTACTAAATATGTATCCATACACCACATAGGTGGAATTTACATAAATAGTATCATAACGTACATATTATTTACAACTTGACTTATTAATGCTGTGGTTTAGATGAGTGTGCCCCAAAGATGCATATGTAAAGCCTTAGTCTCCAATAGGTGGTACTGAGAGGTACTGTGGATTTTTTTTCTTTTGTGGGGCTGCTTATTGAATTCAGAGCTTTGTATATGCTAGGCAAATGCTCTGACACTGAGCTATATCCCCAGTGTGGTTTCCAGTGCTGTGGATCTTTAAGAGGCAGAGAATTATTTCATTGGTGACGTACCCTCAAAAGGGATTGTGGGCCACACACCTCTTTCTTTCTCTCTTCTCTGGTTTGAGAAGAAAGACTGTGACATGCACTCCTATTATGATGTGCTGCCATTCATACTCACCAGATGCCAAACCAGTGGGGTCATCTGATCTTGAACTCTGAAACTGGAAGCTAAATAGTTCTAGTTTTTTTTTCTTTATAAAGCTAGTTGTCTCAGCTATTTCATTGTAGCAATGCAAAGCTGACTAATATAATTCACAATTATAATTCTGAGATTTATCAATATGGATACACCTAAATACTAGATATATTAATTTACTGACTCTAGCTGCTGCATCCTACTGCATGAATAAATAATGGTTAGCTATCCATTCTGCTTTGTTGAGTACTAATTTTTACATTATAAAGTGTTACCATGAACATACACATGACCCTCTTGTGTGAATCTACACTTAGATATCAAGAAGCAGAACTTCTGGGTCACAAGATATGTACATTTATTAGGTATCACAAAAACTGTCCTCAATAGAAAGTTCTATCACTTTATATCCCTACTAACAATAATCAAAGATTTTCCATTTACCAAATCCATGCTATCATTTCTGGGACATTTTCATTTAAAAAAAAATTTTAAATAGTAAGAATTAAACAGAATTCTTACACAAAAAGTAGCATTTATACATACAAAACTAGTATGCTGAATTACTGTTTAATGTTTTATAGATTATTTCATGATTGAATCTTAAACCATTAGTTTTGAAAGCATAAAATAACTTGTTGATGTTTATTTTTTAGGCTCAAAAAGTGATTAGTCATAGCAGTGTGCCTGTAAGTTCATGGTTCTGGTCTTACCATAAACACTGTTTTAACCGAGTACTTTCAAGGATGTATTGTACTCAGAATACTTTGAAGGATGCTTTTTGAGGTTTTACACTCAAATACATTTTTTTTTTTCTAATCTCAGTACACTTATCTTGAACATTCCATTCATTTTCATTCATGAACATTACTGATCTAGCTCCTTAATTATGTTATATGTTGGAAGGCTAGTGTCAGACACAGGTCCACCTCTCGCCAAAGACCTTAAAGTAATAACTCCCCTTTTTTACATGTTATAATTTCCATTCTCATTTTGCCAATCTCTTTTATCTTGTATGCATTTTTCTAAGCCACCTTAAAACTACATATTTAATCAATTAAAGGAATTAGTAACAATAAAAAATCAAGGCTGCATCATCAATCTTATATTTTTCATACATGTAAAGCAAGTTTCTATTCTATTATTCTTTCATATTGTCAAAGACACATCTGATTTAGAAATAACATTCTGAGATTACTTTGCGCCTTACCTTTTCTGCTACTTCTCGCACAGACTGAACACTTGTTCCATACAGATGGTTGTTATACTGGCCAGCTTCAATGAATTTATGCTCCTGGATATCTTTTTCCATCTGTTCTCTTGAAGTCACAAAATGATAATCTCTTCCATCCACTTCATAATCTCGTTTTGGTCTAGTTGTATCTTTAATAGAAAAGAACTTGGGGAAGTGTTTAATATTAAAAAACACAATAACCCACTTTCTGCTTAAACCATTGCTTTGTAAAATTCAACACAATCCATCAATATAAATTTGAAACAAGAAAACAGTATTGAGAACAGAGGAATAACTGATAAAATAACTATAACCAGCTATAAACCAGCAGAAATGGTATTTTGTCATGCACAATGATAGGAAACATTAGGAAAAACAATTAAGAGTTTTTATTTGGGTTACTTACGAGGAACACAGGATCCAAATTTGTCAGGAAATTCTGAGATCAAATCATCATTTATCCTGTCTTTCATAGGTCCCAATATGATAACTGGTCGAGTATAACTGACTATAAAGATAAACTAAATGTTAAAAGGAATATTCAACAAATATTAATATATTTAATTTCATCAGAGAACAAAAATATCCTGAACTGTTATGAAGAATTTTTTTATTTTTCTCCACTCTACCATCAACCAAAGATGACTAACTTGCTAACCTTTACTAAGATGTTCAACTTGATTCAATTTCTGGCTAGAAGTCAACTAAGTTATATTTAGCACATTAGTAAACAATGTTTTTATCATTGATAAAACATTTTCTACTAACATTATCTTGTTATAACTGAGAAAACAAAGAATAGTGTTTTAATGACAGTGTTTGAAGCAGAAATTATAAGGAAGCAGAGCAAAGAAGGACAAAAAAGAAACTGGGTTGTGGGAAGAGACATAATCAAAAAAGTGATTTAGAAAGATGATCTAATAGCGTGTACACATTGGGTTGAAAGGGTCATGCTGAAAGAAGAAAGACTAGTAGTGAGAATTAGAACTGATATTTGCTAAGAGGGATGAAAAGGAGGTTATAAATAAGAAAGATGCAACAGAAGTAGATTATACAGGGCCTAGAACCTGCCTGGATGAGGAGGATAATGAATTTACAGAAGGTCAAAGATGCTTCTAAGATTTTTAAGAAGTGTTATTGGAAGGATAGTAATGCTATTATAAGTGTTGGAAAGAAGTTGCTTACAAAATAAACCAGCATAAACCAGCCAATGTAAAATGACTTGATTCTAATATACTGTGGGCTAAACTATGTTTCATGAAGTCAAAGTAAATTTTTACATAGTAAAAATAGTAAAATTCTGACAAAATATTTTTTGATTATGAGACTTATTTTTCAAATTAAGAAGTATATTTTCAGATAAGATTACAAAACTTCAGCAGGCTTTACAAACCTTCTTGTTGATTCACTGCCTCGTAAGATAAGATGTATTCTTCTTGACCACCTATTAGAAAGTTAAAGCACAGATAAGAGAATCTGTAAGGATGTAACTAATACTAATCTAATGCTTCATACATAACACGTAAATTACTAGGACTTTCCAAAGATGTATAAAAAGGTATGTGGTCATAAATTATTTATGGCAGGATTTAGTAAAAAAAAAA